GTATCATTACTAGACTATTTTAATAGTACGTGTAGTAACTATAAATAGCCTAATCGCACGTCTTTTTACTTTAATAAAGATTAAAGTGAATTACTTATAGTAAATATACGTATAAAATTAAGTATTAGCTTTTAAGAATAATTAATTAATTTAATTAAGGGGTGGCGTTAAATAATAGTTCTATTTAATTTAAAATGATAACTAGCACCTTCTTATAGTGTTTTAGGTTAATAGTTAATTTCTTTATACGAAAGAATTAATGAAGCGAAGACCAGCTTTATGTACATAGCCTAAACTGCCTAAACTGCCTAAACCGCCTAAACCGCTGAAATCGCTTAAAATGCTAGATGTGGGGTTGTGGCAGAAACTGCGGACCTTAGCTAATGTGCCACCGTACAGGTGCGTTATATGTACTGATCTGCGGGGCTCTCCCATGGTCCGCCTTCGCCCTGTTCAGTCTCCATGTCACCAGCACCACGACACCCACCTGCCCGCCACGTCCTAGTCTTGCCAGCCAGCGGCTCACACATCGTCATGGATTGGGAATGATTGTAACCATGACAATGTGAGTGCTTCTCCGCCGCAGGTGTTGTTGGCTCTGGGCCAGCAGCGTCGGGTACCACTGCCATCCACCTAACTAAAACACGAAACAAGTCGCTCAAATTTAGATTGACATGGAGGGCAACTAAACGCGCATCGGTTCAGAACTTTGTCTTCGCAGTGGGGGGAGGGTCAAGTATGGTTAAGGCAGTCCGTATCAGAAAGAGCTCATTGGTATCGTCAATGGAAATGGCGGACCTGGTTGACCATGTTTAAAGCTAGGGGCCAACGGAAAAGTGCAGCCAGTGACCCAACTCCATGCATATCCGCGCGTCCAGCACGGGCTGCCGCAAAGTACCATTTGCTTCCAGATGTCGTCAAACTAGAATTTAAGTACGGACTGGCTGCCCCGAATCTTGAATTCCTACAGAGCAGGCGGGAAAGCCAGTGTGACATTACCTTTACCTGGCCATCCGGGGACGCAACCCTCTCCGTTTCTGCCTCACCCGAGAGGTTGATCGTTTGGCAACCAATCTTCCTACGCCATCAACATGAAGATCCGTAACTTCTTTATCGCGCTGGGTCTTGGGGCCAGCCGGGTGGCTGCGCTGTATCCTGGTGGCCCACGACTTCCAGGAAGCGCCAGAACTGTTCCAGTTCCAGACGACGACGAGGAACCCGCGACCGCGCAGATCAGCAGCAACATCAAGGCATACAACATGTCCGTGCCAATTGACCACTTCCACAATGAAACCAAATATCAGCCTCACTCCAACGGCTCCTTCAACCTTCGTTACTGGGCCGACATATCCCACTACAAGAAAGGCGGCCCGGTCATTATCCTGCATTCGGGGGAATTCAGCAGTGAAGGACGTTTGCCGTTCCTTGATCACGGCATTGCCTCCATTCTTACCAAGGCCACGGGCGGTGTTGGCATCGTCTTGGAACACCGTTACTATGGAACAAGCTGGCCAACCGATAATACTACTACCGAGAACTACCGTTTCTTGACAACAGACCAAGCACTCGCTGACACGGCTTTCTTTTCCAAAAATCTCAAGATTCCGGGACACGAACAACTTAACCTAACTGCTCCTGAAACTCCTCATATCCTCTATGGTGGCTCGTATGCAGGAGGATTCGTCGCTATTGCTCGGAAGGTCTACCCTGATGTATTTTGGGGCGCCATCTCCTCATCTGGCGTCACCGTCGCAATTGATGACTACTGGCAGTATCACGAATCGACCCGCAACTTTGCTCCCGGGGAATGCTCACCCACCATTCAAAAACTGACCGACATTATCGATCATGCCCTGCTCAAGGGAACCCCCAGGAATCAACTTGAAATCAAGGAAATTTTCGGTTTGAGAGACTTGTTACACGATGAATTCGCCAGTTACCTCTCAGACCAGCTGCCTTCTCTCCAAGGGACCAACTGGGACCCGGATCTGGACGACCTGGGTTTTGGGACGTTCTGTGCCATTATTACCTCCGATTCGCTTCTTTTCAAGAGCACGGAGTATCTTATGGAGCGTGTTCGATATCATGTCGAGGAGGCTGGCTATGCCCATGACAGCAGCAAGCCACTAACAATGCGCATGCTCAACTATATTGGATACATCAAAGACAACGTCAAGCGAGACACAAGAAGATGTAGAGGAAAGTCTCTGAGAGAGTGCTTGTCAGTCCGCTATGAAAAGAGCTCAACAGAAATCAATGAGAATTCTTGGCAGCGCAGCTGGTTATACCAGACCTGCACAGAGTGAGTGTATCTTCATGACTGATGAGCGCCAGGTCTGAAGGACGGATTAATCACTAACACGGATGGAAAATAGATGGGGATACTTCATGGGCGGAGCTTCCACCCCCAAGGACCGTCTTCCTATGGTGTCGCGAGCCCTTACGGCCAAGTTCGCCTCTTACAGATGCGAGAGCTTCTTCAACATCAAGTCTCGTCCGAATGTTGGAATCATCAACAAGCATGGCGGCTTCAACTTTAGTTATCCCCGGGTTGCGTTGATTGACGGTAAGCAGGACCCATGGCGAAGTGCAGGTGTCCACGCGATTGGGTTGCCCAACCGGCAGTCGACTCCCTCGGAGCCCTTTGAGCTCATCGACTGGGGTGTACATCACTGGGACGAGAATGGACTAGACGTGAAGGGCCCCAGCCCCGACAAGTGGTCTGTACGGCCGAACGCGATTAAAGGCATACAACGAAAGGAAGTTGAGATTGTGAAGCACTGGTTGAAGGAGTTCGAGAAACCGAGTCGCGCTAGATCTGGACACGAACTTTGAGGTATCGTCGGAGAAATAGACAGTAATTCCGTAGAATTAAGCGTGGCCATTAGTCGGTTTTGCCAACGTGTGAAACCAACATTTTATTATTTTGAGCCTTCTGAATCAGCCAAGCCATGGCCTCCAACAGGTTCTCTAGCCACGTCTTGGACGAAGCTAAATCAGGACAAGTTGTCCAGAATCCATGTGGCGCCCAGCATATACATTCATCCTGGTTTCCAGTCCAGCTTCTTGGAGCAATTGTCTGAATAAGAGGGCCTCGTCTCGTCTTGGATCGCACCCGCAGATTGCAAAAATTCGCCTTCCGTGCAATGCCTGCATGGCATTCAAACAACAACGGCGACAGGCGCTTGTCTTCCGGTGGTGCGCCGTATTTCTCTGATCTATTCAGCTTCGGGCTTTTAAAATTCTGTCGCAATATTTTTTTCCGGCCTGACATTTGGGTGGCAGAAACTTCCGGCTGAGAATACGACTCCGGTAACGGGAGGAAAGAGCCCCTCTTGCAGCGCGAGGTGAGATATTCCAGCTGTAACGTTTGTACAGCGGATGTGCCGCCTAGAATGAAGCCCTCGGCGAGGTCTGCATTGAGTTGTGTTTGGCCTGCCTCCGAGGCAACCCGTACAACCACTTGGCAGGACTAGTACACAATGGAATTAGTGTGTGGTGTAGAGAGATGTGTACCCATCGCAATGCGGACAGCGATGCGATTGCCGTCCCATATTGAGACGTCGAGTTCGGTGATGGTGAGGCCATCTTGGAGTGTGATGGGGTCGTGGGCGCGATTCATGCCAATGACTCTTGTGCCGGGGGGGCAGATTGTTCTGGAACTGGCTGTATTTAGTGTCTGAGGGTGTTTTTGTGAGGATGGGCTTACATGCGCCCATTCTGGATCGGGGTTTGCAAGACGTCGGAATTCAGCCATGTTGAGCACTGAGCAGGTCAGGTTCAATAGCTGTGACGTGTTCAAGCTGTGTGACGGACGAAGCAAATGAGTTCCGATGCGAGCTCAAACTACATACTGTACAGCTAGCAAACCAAGCGTTGACGACGCGGTTCAGGATATTTGGGCCCTTGCTGACGCCAAGCCAGATTCAACAAGACCTCGTCAGCATCAGGATACCACGGAGACCATGCTGTGGGGGAACCAAAGTGGGTGAAGTGCATGCTGCTTTGCCTTGTGGAGTTTAGATCCTGCTGATACGGGATCAGATAATCTTATCAGATGGGGTGCTGCGAGTTTTCTTACCGCGTTTGGGCATTACCAGTGGCTTGATTAAGTCGTGTTCATATCTTATTGTGGTTGGGTTGCCCGTGCTCTCTTTCTTTTCTCTTTGTCGCTGATGGTATGCTATGGGGTGAGTTATGCGTCATAAAGATGAGGAACTGGACGGTGTGGTATTTGGTTGGTCCTTGGTGGTAAGTTCTCGTTGTTCTGTCGACGATGATTAAGGCTGGCTTTTAGGGTTGTGGCAGTATTACGTGGTGTGGGTATCAACTTGTGCTTGCACAAGTTTATGAATAAACCGCCGAGAAACGTGGGAAACCTCGGCGTCTCTCGCTTTTTGGGAACGTAATCTCAAGTATCGTGTTACTGTCCCAAAAAGGCACCTCCGGTGAAAGCCCCGACATCGGACAGGCTCTCATATTAGCAGCGCATGTTCCTGCCCGTATTTGCACATAAATACATCACGTCAGATAATTCGAGCACAGCTAATCACATATTAGTGATTTGTAGTCTCCCTATTGATGTCTGCCGCCCGTTCCTAGTATTGATGGCTCTTTCCAAAAGGGACTGGCGACTTGGCAAGCCTGCTGGCCCGTCCCTTGCGGGGCGCTGTGTTTCCTTTTGGATGATTTCTCAGGTTACACCTCAGCCGCCTCGGCCTGGTGCCCTATGAAATCCAATTCCAGCTCGGATGCTCGGCGACACAATACACGGATATGGAAAGGAGCGGTGACACAGTAGGAGAACATATAAAGGCATTGTGAAAGTCGGAAAAATTGATTCTTGGAACATGAATATTACATATATGCATGATCATACGGCATATCATTAGTCTTATCCATTAATTTATTTATTTGTTTAGTTTCCCAACTTCTTGTCAAAAACGACATCATTCTTAAAGGTTTATTCCAACTCCATCCGTCTTCTGTCACTGATAATAATGCTGTCTCTACTGCTCTGTGTTGGCCTAGCCAATGCTGCTGTCGTGCGTAATTCCGGATGTGATTTCCACATGAGCGCTGCCGGTTCTCACGGTGGACCTTTGGGCGAGCTCAATGGTGGTCAGATTCGATTCGGCAATATTCCACAGACTACTTTTCACATTGACGGTGACAAGATTTGGGATAGCAACGGCCATGGCTGTTGGTGGACTCGTGAGTTGGTCTTATTGATGGTTTCAAGTCCTCATATAAACGACATTCAAGAACTAACCAGTATGTTGTAGCTCCCACTCGAGTCCTTCAGTGTGATACCAATCAGCCACCTGACTCCGGATTCAAAGTTGGCTGTGATGGAAAGGTCTCTTACCACGGAAAGACCACCTTCTATCAATGTGAAACGGGCGATGACGACCAGTACAACATTTACCTTGGCCCCAACAACGGCATCAACTGCGGCGAAGTTACACTGGCCGCCGACGGTTGTCACGCAAGATGTCCTCCTCCTCCTCAGCCAGTCAAGAGCTGCCCTGCCAACCTCAACGGCTCCTATGAGTTCCCTCACCTCATCATCCCTGTTGACGTCGCCCGCCACCCAAAGCACGACCTCGAACAACCAGCCTGGAAAGAAGACCGAGTACGGCATTACTACTGTCGCTCCGGGAAACAGCTACACAATCGCTTCGTTCCCCTGCCCAGCTGGTCAGGCTATCGGTCTCGAAATGAGCGACTGCGGTAACACCAATTTCCGTTTTTTCCAGGATTACAATCCTTTGCCTGCTGGCCTATACATCACCAAGTGCTAGAGACTTGAACTCTCATGGTGGTTCAAAAAGAATTGGAAGGAACGGGTTTTTTTTAATTTCATTTGTGATTGAGTGAGATGATTCAGAAGAGATGAATGACTTACAGGACGGCTAAACGGCTAAACGACACCTTCATTTGGAATCTTGTACCGTAGTTGGTTGAACACGTATTGAGTCTGTTTCAAGGCATATCAATGTCTATCACATATTCCACTTAAAATTAAATAAACATTTTTATACTACTCAAGAAACACTGAGCACTGATGCTTTTGCCAAGCTATACTCAACACCATAGTACGGCCTTGGGGAGAGAGATTTCCTAGTGCCGTTGATTGGGACAAGTCCTGTCGAACAGTAACCACAGGATGGCTAGCCGACATGCCGTCTGACAGCTAAACTTCAGAGAGACATACGTACATTTAGTTCAAAAAAAAAGGCATATTTTAATGTGGATCAGTAATAAACCTCGAGTCGTCGTCGTCCCTTTTTTTGCATCGGGATGTGTGTCCTACCAGTAATGGATGCTTCACGTACTCCCTATCAAGTTTGAGCTATTGTCGAGAATAGGATCCGAATACCGTGGTTGTTTTTTATATCGGTTTGACTCAATGTCTTAATCATGTGCCATCTTTAATTCTTCGGTGTCAGATGCCTCCTGTCTTGTCTTGCCAGCCATCAACCCCAAAACACAGTGCCCTTTATGCTGATGCTCGATTAGTTGCTGCCCGTACAAATATTGCCGATAAGCTGGCACAACGTACCTGACGTGGCAGCATCTCAACCTTGCCAGCCACCCTTACGAGTCGAGTATCAACCTCGAGATGGATAAAGTGCCAGTTCGGCGTTGCCTAAGTGGCTGAGTGGTTCGTGGAAGCATTCTCACGTCCAATCTTGGCGATAATGCAATATCTCAACGTCATTATTCCACTGCACTAATAAGTATATGGGGATTTTAGCCACGGTGGGAGTCGGAACTAACATGTAGACCGCTTCGGTCACCGCTGGTCAAACTTTATTCCCCCTCGAAAAACCGAAGGCCAACATTGCTCCTGATACCCTCCAATTTCCGTCCGCGATGCTACCCATTCTGTCCTTGGCTGGCACGGAGGGGTTATCAGCGTGACCATACAAGATCGTAGACACCACCATTTGTGTCGTGATGACTTGTAGAGAGAGGCGTGGGCTGCGCAAAGGGGTAGGCTGCGTCCGTCACGACAGGATATCATCAAATCAGTTCCCCTCAGAGGCTTCTTCAGGTTGATTCTGCAAATTCCTGGCCATGCACTTCTGACCACCAAGGGTCTCAAACAACCGAGAGCACTGTGGTCAAAGTTTACTTGTCAAGAATAGGACCTACGTCCTGATTCAGGCTCGCACGAGTCTAGGATAGCTCAAATTGATGTCAGATGATCCCAGATGATTCAACAGCGTTCGGAGCTAAGCTATCCACTTTTTTATGAGTTGTCAATGTCAATTTGCCTCATCAGGAACAGAGACAATTTGGGGCAAGGTCTGAACTCTCAGTGTCGCTATTGTGAGAGTAACATTCAATGAATGATGACCCCTTACATACCCACAGGCCGTAGAAGCATGCTCGTCTTCTTTCCTCCCCCCCCCCCCCTCTCACGCGTCCTA